TGTTACAAACGGTGTATATGCGCAGAACAGAGAGGCGGGGTGAGCAAAGCTCATTATCATTTAAAGTCATATGCACTGAAACGGCGTGCTGAAAACAGAGCTGTTTTTGACCAGGTAAAATAAGTGTTTTCTTACAATACTAATGAGAATTTTTAATTAAAGTATATTACAAACTTTTAATTTAGACCCTAAAGAATCATATTAGCTTGTACAAAAATGGCATTATATGACCCCTTTAAACAAATTAAATAATACATTTTAGTATAAATATGAAAGATTCATCGATAGTGGAATGAATGAATGGGTGTCACCGCTTGTTTACTTCGAACCGGAAGACGCGCCCACTTTTGACGCAAGGCCTCATGGGACGTAGGAAACTTGTGGATAGAAATAATTAACTGCAGTCTATTGGCGCTTTTCCATTACCAGTACCAGCTCGACTCGGCTCGCTTTTCGCTCCGTTTTCCATTGCAGAAAGTACCGCCACAAATAGTACCCGGTCGTCATAGCGACGCATTTCATTCCTCGTTGCCCCATCAAGCTCTCGCTGGATCCTCTCTTCGGCAACCAAACAAAGAAATGTCTGCACCTCCTCGTTTGACCACGGCGTATTCTTCCGAGTTGCCATAATAATAGTAGTAAGTTTAGTAACTATCTCTGGCCAAACTATTTAAAAATGGCGGGGTTATACTGGATACTCCATCTGGCGCGTGCAATGATGACGCAGATTCTCTGTGACCAATCAGCAGTCGGCATTGTTTTCACGTCACATTTTAGTATCGGCTTAGCTCGCTTAGAACCTCGCCGGAGGTGGTACGAAAAAAAGTACCCGAAAGCAGGTACAGGTACAGGTACAACTTTTACACAGTGGAAAACCAAACAAAGGCGAGTCGAGCCGAGCCGAGCTGGTACTTTGTAGTGGAAAAGCGCCATATGAGGGCATTAGATAAAGTGAATTAATACAAATTAAAAAGTATTTTAATTGGTCATAATTATTTCACCTTTACTAATTAAAATATATCTCGACAATCACTGGTTTGGAATAATTTAAACATATAACTTAGCTGGTTGTAATTAAAGAGATAAATGTTCTTATAATCTGTCTCAACTCTCAAGCCATAATATTTAGCTCCAATCAATGATTTGAAAACGTCCTAAAATTCAATTATATAAGAGGTAGCCAACTTGTGATTAAAAACCTCAAATTTAAAAAGTGTGTAAACTTACTGGTCCAACACGAGATCCAACTCTCCTTTGGAGTCCACGCTGGAAGCGTCACTTTCGGCAGAAGAATCTCCCAATTCAATCGTCTCGTCAAGTTTGTTGTCATTACCGGAGGATTCGCCATTTTCAACTGGATCGTCATATTCCTCCTTGATACCGTCTCCACACTCCTCTTTAACGATCACATGAATCACATCCATTCTCAAAAACACTGACTTACCGCAAAACGCAATTCAGCAGCAGAAAAATAAATCTCCTGCAGAAAAACACGGTCGCGCGGAGAGAGTAACCGCGCTCTCATTGGCTACTTTACTTGTCCGTCTTAATATGCTGGTTTATCATTGGTCAAACGCCAGACAGCGGGAACTTAGACGAAAAGTGTCCCTCCCCTTATTTGCAACACCTATGAGGGTTAGCAGCCCCATGGTCATTATAATTAGCTAGATTAAACTTAAAAACCAGTCAGTGGGTGGTCCTCGCAAGCATAGGCGTCAAGAGATAGTGGCGGCGGGGTGCAACGAACAAACAATAATGGCATTGTTAAAGATGGATTTAATTTAAATTTGAGCGGCAGACGCACTACAGCGATAAGCAATAATAGTTAAAAAAATAAAATAAAATACAACTAAAAGAAGACTCAACATGCTTTTAATTTAACCCGGTACAGCGTGTCCTTGAGCCAACATAATCTATTTTAGTTTATTTTGAATAAAGAGAGACCCAAATCTCTGGGGAGAAGAACTCAAATACTAATCAATGAAAGTGCAAAAAAAAAGTTACAGGGGTCCATTTTGTGGCTGTTTCAGCACATGGCTCCATATTCGCTCAGATGAAAAGTGCATTTTTCACTAATTTGCATCTTTTTAATCACCCACTTAAAAAATACTTTCTCTAGGCTACTAAGTAAATAAGTATTTTCAAGTATTTTACATTATATAGGCTATCATCAAATGTTTTAGAGGGTATAAAAAACTACAACAACTGTGTTGCCTCAAGGCAAAATTGTACCATAAGGGCATTCCAGGCATACTATAGGTTGGATTACAAATGTATTATTTTTGCAAGGAAAAGAGTGAGAATTATCTAAATATATTTGTATTTTTGCATGATTTTGTAATGCACTTAGGAATAGTAATTCACATTCTATATCTGCACATATTATGATCAGCACATTTTCTAAAGCACTTACATCTCAATTCATGAGGGTGAGAGCAAAGATGAAGATGGACAAGATTGATATGATAACTTGATTATATGATAGTATAGTTATGTTTTGTCTACGATGGTACAATGTTGCCTGAGAGCAACCGCTGGATATGAAATGTTATTTTTTATTAAATATGAAATTTGTAATACGTTAAAAACTGGATAAATGTTTTTTTTTTTGTTCAAGTATCAAGAAATTTACGTTTTCAATAAATATATTTCTTTTTTCTACATGAAAATGTCGAATGTTTTAATTTGTTCGTTGTGGTACAATGTTGCCTTGAACCATCAAACTTAAAAAAAAAAATAATAATAATAATATTTTATGAAAATGTGTATTGATATTGTTAATGTTCAATTTTAAGCAGGAAAAACACCACACACATTTTTCCTCATTGATATCACACTGCGCACCATACGACGATGTATAACATTTAAAACCATATATAACATTCAACATTGCATTGTTTTAACAATTGCACTCAAATATCTATGACAATGTGGAGAGCAAAGCATTCAAACAAAGCAAACAAAAAGCTTACCAGTAGATGGAGCCAGTAGCACCTCAATGCAGTACATAAGATCCACGGGGAGGAGTCGGATCAAGATCCAAGGGGTGGAGATGGGTAGGATTAGGGGTGGGTTTAGGGATTAGGGGGCGGAGATGGGTAGGATTAGGGGTGTGTTTAAGGATCAGGGGGCGGAGATTGGTAGGTTTAGGTATATGTAAGGTGGGAGGAGTTGGATCTGGATCCGACTCCTCCCCGTGGATTTCATGTTCTGCAGTGAGGACCATCTCGATGGAGCGCTCAACATGTCTTAAACTAAACTAGTGTTTGAGGAAAGAATAGCAGGGTTTTGCTAGTATAATATACATAAATACAAAACGGCAACAGTTATTAAATGCAAAATTACAAAATGTCTTTCTATAAAAAGTAAATGTGTATTTCAGGTGTACTTTTTTTTAGCAAAATGAAACAAAATGCCATAACATCTGACACCAGAGGCACATTTGACAGCTAAATGTTAAAGGCACACTGTGGGATTTTTGCCCACTAGGGTGCACTCGACCTGTAATTTTCACGTCTAGTGCCCCTAGAGGCCACAAGCGCCGCAGCATTGTCGCAAAAGTCAACAAACAGTCAACCGGTCAACCTCCCGTGTCTTTATGTATGTGCAGACGGCATTTGATTTGTATGTTGGAGAAAGTTAATCGATTCACTACTGACCAAAATAATAATATAAATATAAGATTAATAATATAAATCCTATAAAGAAAACAAATTGAATAAAAGTAGCATACGCAGAAAACAATGTCTGATCAGGTAAGTCGCATTGACAAGGGTTGCCCAATCCTGCTCCTGCCGATCGTCTGTCCTGCACAGTTCATCTCCAACCCTAATCAAACACACCTGAAGCAAACAATTAACGTCTTCAGGATCTCTTTGCAATGGGTTGGAGATGAAATCGAGTAGTCGGGAAATCGTGTAACAAAACTGATATAACTCACTACATATTTCCGTTGTAGTCTTCAGTTTGTTTTTCCTTTTACACAAATACAAACATATATGAGCTGAAAGGGGGAAAAAAAACATTTACATGTGTATACGGCAGTATGTTGTGACTTATATCAGTTTTGTTACATGAATTCGCAGTAAATATTACATTATATATACAGTTTTATGCCGATGTTTATTTTAAACTCTCCCTTTTTCTTTTTTTTGGTGTCCTCTGACAAAATCTTAGCTTTCTTCGCTTTCTTCCGAGTAGCTGTTGATTCAGCCATGACGACAACATACAGACGCCGGCAATCAAACGCGAGTTGAGCTCTCACGTTAGAATTTGAGGAAGTTGGGGTGGTGGGGGAAGTGACGTATGCCGTAAAGTGGTCGAATTTTGTAGTTCTTTTTGTGCTCGGGTTCCTACCCGAAACCCGAAGTTACATAGTGCTAGTAAAAGCGATGCAGACACCTTCAGGCTTCGGCAGACGTGTCATTCAACCTATTGTAAGTCGATGTACCATCTCAATGGGTTTTGGTAATATATTATAAAGGTTGAAAAGTTCCACAGTGTGCCTTTAATAAGATAATTTAAAGCATTTAACGCCATACATAACAACATTGTTTTGACAATGAAATTCAAATATCTGTGTGTTAAAACAAGAAGTAGAGCAAAACATCTATCACAGTTTTCAAACAATTTATATGGGCAATAAAGCAGGTCAAATGTCTTACCAGTAGGTGGAGCGCTCAACATATCTTAGTTTAACTAGGCGACTGCTGGAGGGAAGAATAGCATGGTTTTGCTCGCATAGAAATACATTGCTTTTGCTATTTAAAATGCACAAAAAAGCTTAATTTTACTCTGAGCTCTATAAACATATTTTGTTTAAGCAAATCATAAAAGCATGCCGTTTTCTTAATAGTTGTCTGAAACTTATGCACACAAGTTTATGATATCTGGTTAATCTGGTCCTAAAATATAAAACAGTTTTAATTAAATGCATTTATGAAATACATGATATTAGGACTGGAAAATGCGTTTATTAGGGCATGCAGTTACTTCGGGAATGTTGTTGACATGGGCCACATTAAACATTTAGATGCTATATGAGAACGGTGACAGTAAGAAAGAGAAACTGAGAGAGTGTGTGTGTTCACTGCCGATCCGGGAGCTCAGATAAAGCCAACAGTGTGTCCAATCTGAAACAGGTTTTCCCACAATAGGAAGTCTCCACCCCATCCTGGTTGGACTTTAAAAGCCCAGCCTCTCCACACAGAGAGAGACACCCGTCGTGCTCAGGTCTGCCCAGCTGTTCTCATCTGAAACATCAGTTCAGCTTCTCTCGTCACTACCCAACGATGAGTCTGAGAAACAAACGCATCAGTTCCAGCAGCTCCGTGAGGATGGGAGGTTTCGGCTACAGCAGTTTAAGTGGGATCTCACTGGGAGCATCTGCTCCAAGTTTCAGCACCAGCTCGGCATATTTGGGGCCTCCAATGGCCAGTGTCTCCGTCAACAAGAGCCTTCTGGCGCCTCTCAACCTGGAGATCGACCCCAACATCCAGATGGTGCGCACTAAAGAGAAGGACCAGATCAAGTCCCTGAACAACCGCTTCGCCACCTTCATTGATAAGGTACAGTTGGGTTTCTTGTTCCCTACGATTGGTATGGTTTCAGTTAAAAAGTAGGGGTTAAAATGAGTGTGGATGATATCGTTTTTATATGATCAACATCTCTTGCAGCAGAAACCTCCAAGTGAAAGGTGATTTGGTACGATAAACGATAGTTTATAGCGTGACCTATTTCTCTGAAGCCTGAAACCTGATAAAAGCAGGTCATATTTGACCAAGCCACTGAAGACAGCACTATCCCAGTGAGTATGAAGGAAGCTTTTGTGTGGCGGAGGACAATGCAACCGAATCCCAGGAGCCTGCCGGACTGAAATCGACACTTCAATCGCACTGAAGTACAACCAAGTCCCTGTTGTGGGTCGGGGCAGGGCTGGGTCTTCCAACACGGGTCTCAGGTCGGCTTTTAAAGTGCTTGAATTTAAGGATTTACGCAGAAACCCATCTAGGTCAGCCACTACTCTCCGGAGTGTTACAGATCGGCTAATGTGGAGTCATGTTACTCTGTTAATGAGTCCATCTTGGCAAGGTGGGCATCTAATAAAGCGGACAAGCTTTCAGGATGTGCAGTGAAGTGAAGGACTTTCAAGGAAAAACTCTTAAAATCAAGGTCAAGGTACTGTTTATTGTCTCCCGTAGGAGGGATTTGTCTCGGATGAGAGAACTGCTGCAACATCAACCCACCAAAAACACCCATCATTCAACATTAATATCCATTCCACATAAAACACTCTTCCCCTAAAAAAATGAAGTATTTTACTTCACAAATTACCTAAAAAGCACACAACTCCTATATTTATATTACATCTAATCTGCCAACAGTATGTGCAGTTGTATCACCACCTTACTGGAGTTGCTCATTAATCAATTTTATAATAGTGATTATGCTTGCATACCAGTACGAAAAACTCCTAAGTGAATTACTTTGGTAAAATGCTGCAAAAAATGCTTTTCTTACTTAGTATTTTTGTCTCGTTTCCAGTCCAAATATCAAAAAATTCTTCAATCAAGATGCATTTACTAGATCAGTAAAATGACAAGAAGATATTATGTCTTGTTTTCTGGGTTTATAAATCAACATTAAGAGAGTTGTTGCTTAAAAAAAGATTATCTGCCAATGGGGTAATAAAAATAACAATTCAAACAGAAACAAGATTATTTTTCTTACCCCATTTGCAGATAATTTTATTTGTTTTAAGAAAAAACTCACTTAATCTATTTTTCCCCGCCAGACATAATTTGAAATGTGTTTGCTTACTAAATTGTGAGCTGAACGAAAGTTGCAGCAAATATCATAATATATTTGACATAATATTTTAAAAGACATAAAAGACATAATATTTTATGGCATTTTACTACTTTAGTAAATGCATCTTGATTTAAGAATTTTTAAATATTTGGACTGGAAACGAGACAAAAATACTAAGTAAGAAAAGCATTTTTTTGCAGTGAAGTGGACTTTTCCCCTCTCTGTTCTCACAGAAGCATGACAGAAGGACTTTGGTAACAGAGCTCCACTTTACTTGGCCTACCTCATCATGTTCCTCAAGGAAAATTTACATTTAGGATGAACAACGTCTACATCAGCATCTCAGTATGCTGGATCCAAAGATCACATTTACTTGTGATCATCACAATGATAAGTGCCGGTTACTACTGCACAAAATTCAACAAGGTTTCTTCTAACATTGAAAACTGAGATTCAGAATTCATACTGGATGGACCCATTAATTCAATATTAAACGCAAATAAATAAAAAAAAACAAGTATTTATTGTACCTCTACAGGTGCGCTTCCTGGAGCAGCAGAACAAGATGCTGGAGACCAAGTGGGAGCTGCTGCACAACCAGAGCCCGGGTCGGTCCAACGTCGAGCCCATGTTTGAGGCGTACATGGCCAACCTGCGCAGACAGATGGACGTGGTCAACAACGACAGGACCAAGCTGGACGGAGAGCTGAGGAACATGCAGGGTCTGGTGGAGGACTTCAAACACAAGTAAAGTCTTTAGATCTACGCTAGCGCCAATGTTAACTGACCTCTGATGAGAACCTCTCTTGTATTTCTTTGAGAAACCGAATTTGATCTGACGCAGCTCATCATTTATCATCGAAATCAACATATCACTATATTTACAATACATCACTTCAACACTTTTCTAAACTTAATCTAGGTCTTCATTCTCAGACATCAGAAACTTTCACTTCCACTTTGTATTTTATTCAGATATGAAGATGAGATCAACAAGAGGAACAACCTGGAGAACGACTTTGTGATTCTGAAAAAGGTTGGTTATCCATAGGGATGCACCGATATGAACACTTTGGCCCATACCGATAACCGATAATTCTTTATATTTAAAAGCCGTTAACCGATATATTGGCCGATAAATCTAAATCCACATTTTTAGATCATTTTTGAGAGTATGATTACAAAAACAAAAATCTCACCATTAAAAGCCATGTCCCAAATACATAATTATAACGTTCTCATTATAATTTGATGTAGCCGATATGACAGGCTTGTGCCGCGCATGTTGCACTGAACTGTATTTTCCTTTTTTGAAGTAATTTCAATAATATTTCAAGCAATTCAAAACCATCATGGTAAACAGTGTGCATCTGAAGTGTCTCAGCTGAAGGAAACAATCCATTATTTATCGGTTTTAATATATCGGCCAACATTATAAATGATCATATATCGGCTGATAGTACCGATATGGTGGCCGATATATCGTGCATCCCTAGTTACCCATATGACTTTTGAGGTCAGAAGTAAAAAAAAGTTTTTTGTTGTTTTTTTACCTAATAAAACACAATCCAAGAAGTATGACCTCACTGTGATGTGGGGTCAGGGCAGGTTACCAGGTAAAAAGCTGAACTTTTAGGACCAGGGAAAGTTACATTTTCACAACACGTTCAATAAAAGCAGCCCAGGCGAGGGAACAATGAGATGTTTGGGAGGGGTAAAGAGCTAAAGTTAAGACTGGAGGGATCAAATCACCACTGACAAAAGCTTGGGTGGGGATGCGGCATTATTTATACACTAGAGGAGATCTGCTTTCAATGGCCTACAGCAGTGCTTCTCAAAGTCCGGACTCCGGTCCGGATCCGGACCCAGAGGGAATTCAATCCGGACCCGCCTCCATTTCGTATTTCAAGAGCCCTAATTGTGTGTAAGGGATTTAAAGTCTGGATTTCCTATTTTGATAAACGCATGTTAAAATCATTTGTTTAATTTTTATGATGGTCCAAAATTAAAACGAAGGCGAGATATTTAAAGTTTTCCTCCGTGATTTAGTTGCCATGACATCCAGTGAGCATGTGACTTTTGACGTAATCGGGCGCGACCGCGACGCAACACTTCCCGGCGTAAGCGTTTGAATGGGTGTGGAGGATGTCATTGTCCAGGAAAAGAAAAGTTGACGAAGAAAATAGAGTTTTCAAAGATGATTGGACAGAGAGGTATGCGTTCACAGATAGCCCAAATCTCCCGGAAGTTCCAGGAGCCTCCCGCATATTGATAGCGGCTCCCTGATGCCCGCAAATTTGTTCAAATCTCTCGGAATCTAGAGCTCGCGAGCTCCAAACCGTGCAGCGCGCGTACAGCAGAGAGGGAGAGAGCGAGAGACCTTACGTGTGTGCAAATGCGTGTGTGTGTCTCATGAAGCGCATGTAAGCCCCATCCAACCCCTCAACAAAACCCCCCCCCCCCCATAGTATCGGACCTTTGACATTGATGAAAATTCAGATTTGGACCTTTGAATATAGACTTTGAGAACCCCTGGCCTACAGAGAGTAGCAAGAAGTCAAAGTTGCATACTAAATATCTACAAGATGTAGCTCTATTGAATATCGCTGTGAGCAATCAATGCCTAAGGAAGACACACAAGTTATTCAAGGTTGCAATCGAGAAGAGGAAAAACTGTACTGTGTCCCGCAGGATGTAGACTCTGCGTATCTGGTGAAAGCTGATTTGGAGGATAAAGTTGGTGCCCTGACTGATGAGATCAACTTCCTGAGGACCCTCTACGATGAGGTGACACACACACACACACACACACACACACACACACACACACACACACACACACACACACACACACACACACACACACACACACACACACACACACACACACACACACACACACACACACACACACATACACACACACACACACACACACACACACACACAAAACTACTCACACCTGACTCTAAGTTGCACCAGGTCAAAATTGCTTTGAGAGAAAAAAAAACATGCAATTCACATCAGTATATTAGTCACACTTTATTATTGCATTCAGATAATGTAAAATACCAGTAAATAAAACAAAATGTTTTCAAAGATAGAAAAATTAAGTATAAAATAATTAATAGTGGCATTCATTATAAACAACATTTATTATAAAAGCCAAGCCTAAATAAATGTGTAAAACCAGTGTTGGAAATGCGTTATACAAATAAACTTGAGCTCACGAACCTCTTTCATCCAGCACTGATCCAAATGTGTGCATGTTTGCAATGGTAAAGAAGTCGCTTTAGAATGTAAATTGCAGGATATTTCAGATGATAAAAAACACAGTATGCAAAAGAATATTATTTGAATGTTTTGTCTTTCAATCTTGAACTAGACATAACGCTGGTCAAAGCAAATCAAATACCAAGACCGATTTGTCTATACAGTGCTTAATACACATCTAACAATGAAGTTTCCATAGAGCTAAAACTCCCTCAAACACACATAAAGTTGCCTTGTCTCTCTGGATCAGGAATTGCGTGAGCTGCAGGCCAGCATTAAAGACACGTCCGTCGTCGTGCAGATGGACAACTCGCGAAACCTCAACATGGATCATATCGTGGCCGAAGTCAAGGCTCAGTACGAGGATATCGCAGCCAGGAGCCGTGAAGAGGCCGAATCCTGGTACAAGTCCAAGGTAGACACAAAATACAAACTTATTCTCTAAATGCATTGGCTTCCTAGAGATTTGTCTCTTCAAGTCAACATGAAGTCACATTTTCAACTTGAAAAAGTAAACTCAATGTCCTAAAATGTAGGGCAGGATTGATTGTATACATTTTGAATTGATTAGTTGTTGAAAAAGTCGTTTCAGAGGCAATTCAATACATTTTGATGAAAGATTTTCCATTGGAATGAGTAATCGTTCACAATGTGACCAGGAAGATGGATTAAGAAAGTAAACTTTTCATGTTGACCCTAGTAGGTGTTTTTCTCCATAAACGCCTAGTAGGACTAGAATTACTTTAGTTAAAACATCTTTTATTAGGGTACAGGACTACAGTGATTTGTGTACTGATCAGTTTTTCCATCTCGTTCTGGTCAGTTTGATCAGATGTCCTCTCAGGCGAGTCAGTACAACGACGAACTGCGAAACACTAAAGGAGAGATCGCAGATATCAACCGCATGATCAGCCGTCTGCAGAGCGAGATCGAGGTTATCAAATCGCAGGTGAGGATATATGCCTTGTGAACTGAATTTTTCTGGGACTTTTACTGGGATTTATTGTGTAACAGGTGGTTACTTTTCCTTGCTATCCTGGGTTAACTTAGATTTTGACAGGTTTAATCCTGTCAAGATTTCTTTAAAATAATTTATTTATGTTAGGGCGGCCACCACCCCTACAATGAGCTACATTTTAACCTAAACCAATGGTGGTCGTTTAAGGTCATTGCACACTGAGTCGGAAATTTTCGTATGCGTTATTCGGTGGCTGTGAATTGTCAAAACACCTCTCAAAATGCTGCAACGAATGCGAAAAACGCAAGAAAATTGAACCCGATCCGAATTATTTTATGACGTACGAAAGTTTCGGAGGCGTGATTGACACAACATAAGGTCGTATTTATTTTTTAACGTGCGAAAATTTCGGACTCAGTGTGCAAGGACCTTTACTCACGAGGCTACTATCATTACAGCGTGCGAACCTGGAGAACCAGATAGCGGAGGCCGAGGATCGTGGCGAGATGAGTGTGAAGGAGGCCAAAGGTCGTATCAAGGATTTGGAGGAGGCACTACAGAGAGCCAAGCAGGACATGGCCCGCCAGCTCCGCGAGTACCAGGAGCTCATGAATGTCAAGTTGGCGCTGGACATCGAGATCGCCACCTATAGGAAGCTTCTGGAAGGAGAGGAGGACAGGTAACATGTCCAAGTGCTATTTTCACACTGTGCGATTTATAATAGTCCTTTACGATTATTGCTTGCTTGTCAGACTGTACGAACATGATCCTCGCTGCAATCATGTCACACTGTAAGATCTCAGCTGTCATTAATGTCAGACTGTACGGCAGTCAAGACGCGTTAAAAACGGACACACGCAAGAAAAGTTTTACATCATCAATAAATGACATGTTCGGTGACAGTGAGCTGTGTTACACGCGGGATTGAAATGGTGGCTACAAAGAAATCTCTAACGTTAGTTTTTGTCACGGCTTGTCTTGAAAAACAAAGACAGTTTGACGGTCGTCGTAGGAGAAGTCACTGCAGGACTGAGAGTCAAATCTTCTGACACTGCCAGAATTTCGTCTGAGGTAAAAAAATTATCGCAACGGTCATTGATCGGCTGTCGGTGAACATGTCAAACTAACGATCAAAGACTTCAGATTTTAGCCAAGGATCGGAGGAATCTTTTAGGATTTTAAGAGTCTCTCAGACGGCCAAATCGTGGTCAAAATCGCACAGTGTGCTTAACCCGGCTTAAGAGGAGTGGAACTAGAGTGTTTACATTAACAAATATTGACTGTCTCATTGTTTTTACTTTTCACAGAATTGGGCAGCAGTCCATTGTGAACATCCAGGCTGTTTCCAACTACAGTAAGTCTTAATGGACAAGTGTGACATTATTCATTACAACAATGGCGACAGTATCCACACAAAACATTTGACTTCTAAAGGCTCCTCAATAGTGTTTGACGACCCATTCCTGTGTGAAACACCCACTTTACACTATCCGATCAATTGTCCAGGAAGAAATTCAAGCCTGTCCAAGATTTCTAGAGAGGATATTCAACACCGTATTACAGTAAAATATTAAAATGAAAGAAATATGGGTCGCGAATGCCATTTCGTGTCGACTTTAACTTGTTCTTTACAGCACTTTAAACCTTCATACACAATCTGAAAGTTGAATTTTATTATTATTTTTGTTTCACAGGTTCCAAAGGGGCGAATGGTTTTCAGCAGAACAGCTCTCCATCACCTAAAATCCTGATCAAGACTACTGAAACCCGAAACAGCACCAGATTCAGCACTCACTGAAGTGTTAACCATACTCAAATATGCTATACTATACCTAAGACAGTTAACCTGAAATATAGAAGTAGTTTTCTTTTGTCTTTCTGTGAATCGAGAGTAATCTGCAATGATTTTTTTCTGAAATAACAAAGACCTTGTGTGTGATTCAAATATATTATAAACATATATATTCAATATTAAAAAAACAAATAGTAAATGACTATATAATGTGAAATTGTGGAATGATTAATTCTATATAATTAAATGCTTTTATTATTCAATGAGATAAAGCCTGTAAATGTGGTCAATTTCTCTTGCAATACAATTTGATAAACTTTAAGGCTTTGTTCAGACAAACAATAGAAGTTATATTTTACTGTTTGACTCAATTGAGTTTAATGGTTAAACAGCGGAAAACAAGAATCAAGCTGGTACAAACATTGGAAATCTGATTTTAAAAAAAAAATCTAGTTTGAACTGTTAGATCTGATTGTTTAGCCTACTTATCAATTTGCATTTACATGCAAAATCAGTATTTTTGTATTTCATGCATAGTGATTATAGTGATTTCATAGTGACAAAGATAACCGAATGAACAAATAGATCTGATTTAAACATTTGCAAATGGTGAAATCAGAGCAGACAGTCCTAAAAAATGTATAGAAAAAAACAAATCATGTGCAGTGTGAACAAAGCCTAAAAGATAAAAAAAATCTATCAAAAAACCATACAGAAAAAAACTAAAAAAAACTAAATAAAAAACAATCCTGAACAGGAAACTAGACTGTCTGAAAAATAAAACCAAATATTCTCCACTGAGCATTTTGAGTATTTCTTCCTGTAAAACCTGCTTGTAACACTTATAATTTGTCATTTGGCTACAGGCAATCTGCACTCTGTGACAGTAAAACATGATATGATTTGTCTTTCATGTTACCTAATCCCAATGGCTCGAGGTTTCAGAAACTGACATGATAGGCCTATACATTAACAGCCGTGGGAATAAATTATGTTGGAGCAATGTAGCAGAAATAAAACCAGCTCATACACAGTATTTTAGAGGAAGAGAAGAGCTGTAGCTACGATGTCTTCAGCACATTATGGTCAATGAGGGTTTAACATAATATCAGATCAGACAAAATGTCCTCAAAATTACATCCTGAAAGCTTAGGTAATGAGAAGCATTACATAGGAATGTCACTGTGTGAAGGCAATGATACACCTGCTGTTCTTAAATTGCTCCACATAGTTGACATTTAAAAATTAGATAACCACCACAGCTAGTGGCTGGCCTCCATTACACTAAATGATATCAGCTGTATAATTGCTTATGCTTACCGCGAAGAGTCACAATTTTGCAGAGGCGATCTGCTCCTCGCCCTTAATCGTCCCGAACTTCTCGGTTTCACGTAGCTTTGTTATACTTTCACTTGGTTTGTTAAAATGAAAGTGTCCCGTTTAATAAAAAATAATATATTATAACATAAGAATAATGCGAAAAGCCAGCAGACTAGACCGGTTCGTCTGGTAGTTTTTGAATTCTTAAAGAGCGGGAAGATTTCTGTGGCGTACAGGCGGGAAGCGCGTGACGATTTATTATTTTGGATTAATTATTATGATCCTTGGATTAATTAGAAGTATTATGCGTTTTAGCGTTATACTTAAAGCTCACGTCGTATGGCGACTTAATGTGTTTAAGCACATTTAACTTTATCCTTTAACCCTTTGATGCACAACATGGGTCTAAATAGACCCGACTGAGTTTTCATTTTCTATATCTTTGCAAGAAATTAATTTCATCATTCAGTATTCCATGTATTCCTCAATTAACTTGTTTTAGATCATTACAAATCCTTATTTAAATTTTTCCTTTCTTAATTTTCGAATAAAAATCGTTTTTGTTTCACTACCCTTCTAATGCGCAACATGGGTCTAAAAAGACCCGTATTCATGTTTCTTTGCTGAATATTTGAAAGAAATGTATTTTATCATTTATGAATCCAGGTATTCATTAAATATCTTGTTTTGGATTTCCACAAATCATTATTTTTATTTTTCCTTTCTAATAAACAAACACGGTTTTTGTATTTCTACATCAATTTTACACACATGGGTCAAAAATGACCCATATAGGAACCTTTGATATTTATAATATATTTACTGCAGAAAACTATTCACCTGCCACACATTTCACAATTCAACACGGCTGCTTTTGTATATTTCATGCATGTACGTTTTATTAATACATTTTTTTGTCACAGAAAATATTTGATATTTTGTGAAAGACATAGATATAGCCTAAAATTTGAACGTTTAGGCTAAGGTTACCTTGAACTTGAAATCCATTACTAGTGCAAAAGAGAAACATGTCCAATACTATTAGCTAGCTTGCGGTCGACATATTTTATTTTATCTAATGTTAGCTATAGGTCAACAAAATAAAAGTTGCAATAGAAAGTTATATATATAGCCTACAAGTATATATTGGAGCTGTTAGGCAGAAACCTTACCTGGGCAGTACCTCCATATTAATTTTTATTTGTGGTCATAAATCAATGCTATCGTTCACGTAAGCCGTCGTGTGGTGGCGTTGTGGTGCACTATGGCTGCTGTCGCATCATCCGGGTGGTTGCTGCACATTGGTGGTGAGGAGATCCCCCACAGTTGCACTACACTACAGTTCAATTTCAGTGTTATCGGTTATATGTGTGTTATGCGTGACAAAGTGGCCAATAAACATATTTCAAGTGTTATAGTAAATGTGTTGATCTAAACAACTGTGACAATGGTTATTTTAACAAAAAGTTCTCTTTATTCTTTTGTTTTATCACGCTTGCATAGATGGGTCATTTTAGACCCATGTGTGTAAACTTGATGTATTTACACAAAACCTAGGAAATATCAAAATATGAATTTGTGATAATTGAAAACACGATATTTTGAATATTCATAAATCATGAAATTTATAGATCATGAAATATAAAATGCTCAAATAAAGTGATTTCAAAAGGTGAAACAAAAAAAAATGCCGAGCCATGCATGAAATAACATAGGAAATGAATACGGGTCTTTTTAGACCCATGTTGTGCATTAGAGGGGGTATCCATAGCTTGCGCATCAAAGGGTTAAAATGAGCAGTTAAAATAGTGTAGCCTATAAAAAAGCTGAAATACTATTTATGCAACAAAGTAAAAACTATGTAAATACACTAGACAACAATTGTGTAGTATAGCGTTTATCAAAATAAAATGTTTAAGTTAAAATAACTATTTTTAAGCTAATTATACTAAAGTTGTCAAAAAATAATCCTTATAGTCTCTAGCTCTCTCTCTCTATATATATGTATATATACATATACACACACACAGCAATGATTAACAATTAAAGACATTACTGAGGACAAACATCCATAATAATAATAATATAACAAAGTCTTAATTGGAAGTGTACATCAGATACAAAAATACAGACATAAAAACCATCAAACTCATGGCATAAGCAAACATCTCTAGTGCCCCCTTGTGTTTGGTAACTACAATTACGAAGAATTGTAGTGGCTCTGAGTGCCAGGTTACAGTGTCAGTCAATAGTCAGCATTCACACATCAGATGACTGATTGATTAAACTATCTATCTGACTGTGTTGCTCTTTATTGTCGTCTTCTGAAGAGCAGGAGACTTCTGTCCCAGGTTGTATTACCGAAGCTCTGCACCAGCTCCATGCTGCACTGCTTTTCCAAGTGCTCTCTAGCATGCGCAGCCATGTCCCCTCGAATCTCAAGGGCCTTGAAGTGTTCGAAGTCAGTGCGGCCCAGTTTGCGTAAGCGTCGCGCAGCAGAGCGGTAACACTTCCACGGCTGAGCCTCCAGCAGCAGAAACTCACTGAGAGACGCCAGTCTGGAGAGGAGAGACAGGAACGCAGCGTCTCCGTGATTCAGATGAACCCACATCGTCACCGCAAAACACGTGCACAGGTGGAAGCGGGGGCAGACGAACCTGCCCAAATACGACTCTAGCACTGCCCGGCTCTCTTGAGCATCCGTGATGTCCAGGGGGATGAACTGGATATTCTGGGGAAAGGGGTTGGAGGTGAGTGCCCGAAGGATTAGATCTCGGTCCAGGTCAAATCCAAGCAGATGCAGTTCTCTTTTAGGAGAGTCACTTCCAGAGGCGTCCTCCTGCAGGAAATGCTTGTACAGAGCAACCGACAAGTCCTGACAAACAGAGGGAATGATAGAAAACACATACTGGGGATTAAAACTACACATTTTTATGAGTTGATTATGACAGATTGTCCTTATCGAAACCAATACGGTGATAATGTACTGTAACACTAATATCCAGGACAAAATTATAATAGTAGTCTCATAAAGAGCAATTAACAACTTCTAGACAATACAATATTTCACTGCTGAGGATATAACTAAAAAACAAAACTAGATTAACCATTTTATAGATATTAATTTCCATGACTTTTCCATGTCTGAAAAAATATTGATACTGCTTGATTTATGACCTAATATCCTTAGTATTTATAGTGGTTTTAAACTTAAGACTCATTTCATACTCACAGATACATGCATACGGAGGGTTAGGATTCAATTATATCTGTCTAATAAGTTATTAGACATATATATAATATACTTAAAGGGTTAGTTCACCCCAAAAATAAAGTTCTGTCATTAATTACCCTCATGTCGTTTCAAACCTGTAAGACTTTCGTTCATCTTCGGAACACAAATGAAGATATTTTTGATGAAATAAGAGAGCTTTCTATCCCTCCATTGACAGTCTACGCAACTACCACTTTCAAGCCCCAGAAAGGTAGTAAATACTTTTTTTTTTTTGCAAACAAAGCACTTGTTGCTTCATAAAAATGAGGTTAAACCACTGAAGTCACATGGATTACTTTAATGATGTATTACTACCTTTGGGGATTGAAAGTGGTAGTTGTGTAGCTGTCAACGGAGGGACAGAAATCTCTCAGATTTCCTTAAAAACATCTTAATTTGTGTTCCTGAAGATGAATCAAAGTCTTACAGGTTTGAAATGATATGAGGATTAGTAATTAATGACACAATTTTAATTTTGGGGTATTTATCTTTCGGATTATTATTATTATACATTTATTTACATATACAAGATTATTAAAATAAGATACAGGGGTTATTACTTTTTTACATAATTAAACAAATTCCTAATTTATTAAAAATGTATTAAACAAGTTTAACATTTAATAATATCGAGCATAATAGGATTTAAACACTATATAAATCATTCGTACCCCTGAGTTACATCCCACGTCCAGCATTAAAACACGTTCACTTCTGTCAGAACCGAATCGTATGTTTTCAAGCAGCGCTTCTGGTATCAAACCCAGGCGGTTCTCTGGTGGGTTGAAGGAGTAATAGTTGATGAAGTTTCCATAAGGAGCGGCTCCTGGATCTTCATTTTCCTCTGAACTCACATGGGGAACGTGAGTCTCCATCATCGCTGTCCGACAACAAAATAATTCCTGGCGGCTCGTCCTGCCATATAAAGCTAGTTCCTCATAATGAATCGAATGAATTCACCGTACACATTTATAATGTTAAAAACAAGAATTCAGCAATTAGACACATAGATTTTGTTCTGTGTTGTAAAATATTAAAATATGTCGTTTATAAACGCAGACGAAAACTACAAGAGAAAAACGCATTTACTAGATATGGCCCTTCTGCTTTGCCATAGAGTTACGAAATGTAACTGCGCATGCGCATACACATTTGCCTCTGACATTGAGAACGAGCTGCATTTCCTCTTACTTTGAATTGGTTATTAAACAGGTAAGACTCCACATTATGATATTTTATGTAACCGCAGTAACTTTAAAGTAGGTACGACGTTAAACGTAGTAAACATAATTGTAGATTAGATGTCTAAGATGCTAACTCTCATACTGATGTGTTTTAAGAACTGAAGCATTTAGCATTACCATCGGTATTGAACATTGTATCACATTGTAACGTGGTAATATCTTTGACATATATCAGAGGATCATGTAAATACAATGATATGTGAAAATAGTAATCATTTATTATAATTCTTGCAGCGTCAAGGTGCAACTAAAAATATTGAAACTATGAATAACTCCTCATTATTATGGTTAAATTAATGTAACTCGGTGTAACGGTTATATGTTATGACAAAAAGAGAAACACATTCAAAACCTGAAAGGCCTATTTTGAATCTACTGCCACAATCTACACAATACCGGTCACTAAATTTCTAAAGAAGAAAAACTGGTGTATTTGAAAGGGATAGTTCACCAAAAAGTGAGAGAAATTAACATTTACTCGCCCTCAAGTTGTTCTAAACCCGTTTTGAGTTTATTTGTTCTGTTGAACACAAATACAGATATTTTGAAGAATGTTGGCAACTAGTTTCTGGTCCCCATTGAATTTCATAGTATTTTTTTTTCATACTATAAAAGTCAATGGGGTCCAACAACTGCTTATTTAAAATATCTTCTTTTCCGTTCAACATAACAAATAAACTCTTACAAGTTTAGTACAACTTGAGGATATAATGTAGTAATGTAGTATATAGTAAATAATGACAGTATTTACATTTTTTGTGTGAACTATCCCAGATAGCACACGTACGTCTGCAAGATGTCTGTTAAAGATCACTTCATCTGGAAAGCATCTGGTGTTTACTAACATCTGATAGACATCTTTAAGATGTCAGTTTAACATACATTCTAAATCATTACATCTTAAAGACATCTTCTAAACGTCTATTTGACATCTGACAGGAAACGTCCTATAGACGTATTGCAGATGAGCAAACACTCTAAAAAATACGTCTTCCAGATGTAAACACACACACCAAATAGACGTCTCTGTGATGTACGTGTGCTATCTGGGATCCCTTTAAGGGATAATATTATTCATGAAATATCAGATGATCATCTTTGACAACATTGAATATCCCTTTTGGTTCCCAAAACATGCATTTTAAGGTTTGTTTTCTGTTAACCAGTACATTTTTCGTTACAGACATAGAACATTCTCCTAACGTTCTTCATTGGTTCCCAAAATACCCGTATGGGAGCGTTCTGTGTTTGCTGGGATGCTGCTAACTCGCCTCACCTGAGTTCATGTCATGTGTCCGCAGATCCGTCATGCTCGGTGGGAAGCGCATCGCAGACGCCGGGTATAAGCTGTTCTCGGGCTCCATGATGCTGCTGACGGTGTACGGCGGATACCTGTGTGTCCTGCGGGCTCAACGCTTCATGCAGAAACAGAAACAGCTGGCGGCACAGAGCGAGACTACAGAGACCGAACACAATCCCTGAGCCGGACACTGATCATGTCACACGGGTGGGACGTTTCGGGACTCAGCAGAAACACACCTGTGCTCATGAACCTCGAAGGCTTCGTTTGTCTAGTTCAGCGGCTCTGAATGAGGTCTCTACTATGGAAACAGTGATTTATGTTGTAATATATTAAATGTTCCTTGTAAAATCTACTACCGTGAGAGTTGACCTTTCAATTTGCATGATTCCCGCATCTGTTGACAAATTATTTGACTTTTTTTAAAAAAAATATTTGTTCTGGACTGGTAAAAAATGATTTTTAAGATTGCATATGACATTGTTGAATTGAACTTAAATTGAAATGATGATATTCCAGCTTTGTTTTGTTAACCAAGGGGATGTTTACACGACACCGTTCTCAACTAAAAACTTTTCAACGTAGAACTTTTCCTGCGTTTTGGCTGTTCATTTACACAATGGCATTTTGGGGGCCTGAAAATTGCTCGTTTTAAATTGCTCGTAAACTTCAAAAACATGAATTTGTGAAAATGATGACGTCATGCACATGTGTATAGAGAGCCTAAGCCCCTCCCCTCCGCTTCCGGCGCATGGGACCTTATTTCGTAAAAAATATGTATGGTAGTCAATGGCGAGAGAAAGCTTATCTTTTTATTCCGTCTGAACTGTGCCCTGAATTAGAGGGCTGCATTGGGATTGAGTCCCGCGGGACCCAACGCAAATCTCGCGGGAGCGGGCGGTTTGAATTTTGCTGCGGGCGGGAATGGGCGGACAAATAAAACCCCTGCGGGATTGGGAGGTAGCCTAACGACATGATGGAGATGTCAATGATGTGGAAAAGAACCTTAAACGAGGTATTTACAGTACAAAACCTGAGCAAGGCAAGTCTGACATTTACTATTCATTCCTGATCAGTGCGTCAGAATACGTGCAGGCCAGGGAAACGAAACCAACAACCCCATGAATCTCTTTAACAATAGCAATACAAATACGCGTTTTTTTCCTGCGGGACGGGAGAAGACACAAAGTCAGTGCATCTCTATTATTGTGCGGGAATAAATTCTCCGAGTTTTGCGGGTGCGGGCGGGAGTGGACATACATATTGCGGGAGCGGGCGGGACTAACACATACGTTGCGGGAGCGGGCGGTAATGGTCAAATTCGGTGGGCGGGAGCGGGATGAAGAAAACAGTCCCGCGCAGGACTCTACCCTGAATTACACATATAATGTTTGTCAATTTACAAGATAATTCTGAAAGTCGCAGTTTGTCATAAATCAGAAGAGTAACATTTAGTTTTATGTGAAAATCGCTCAATGAACTACATCTCCCGGAAAGCGAAACAACGAGCGAGATCCGCTGCTCGTGTGTGTGCAGTCTGGTACAAAACACTCGGCGTAACGTTACGATTATAACGCAAGACTATAGAAACAATGACAGACGTTAGCTTCAGTAAAGTTAGCTTTAGCTTCGGTAGAGTTAGCTTCGGTAGAGTTAGCTTCGGTAGAGTTAGCTTCGGTAGAGTTAGCTTCTGTTAAAGTTAGCTTCGGTAAAGTTAGCTTCGGTAAAGTTAGCTTCAGTAAAGTTAGGTCCAGTAAAGTTAGCTTCGGTACAGTTAGCTTCAGTAGTTAGCTTCAGTAAAGTTAGCTTCAGTAAGTAAAGTTAGCTTCAGTAAAGTTAGCTTCAGTAGAGTTAGCTTCAGTAAAGTTAGCTTCAGTAAAGTTAGCTTCAGTCAGTAAAGTTAGCTTCAGTAAAGTTAGCTTCATTCATTGAGAGAAAATGTGCGCCTTTTGGGTTTGTAGTCTTTGTAATTACGTATTTTCACAGTCTTATATCTCAACAGTTTTACATCAAAGTGCGACTTTCTTGACTTTAAAATGCATCTTTTAAATTTACAAACATCGTGTGTAATTGAGGGCACAATTCAAACGAGATCAAAATATTTGTTGTCTCTCGCCATTGACTACCATACATATGTTTTTCCGAAATAAGGTCCCATGGTGGTCGACCGGAGGGGGAGGGAGTTAGGCTAGGCGCTGAGTTTCTTTACAAAGTGACGTCGCCATCTACTGGCATGGCATGAATACAAAGTTTTTCGTAGTTTCGCAGATCCGTAACATTGTCGTCTGCACACCAACACAACAACAGAAAAACGTTTCTGTTTTTAGTACATCGTTGTCATATAAACATACCCTAAAACTATTAAAAAGTAGTTTATTAATTGAAAATATTAGATTTTAAATTAAATTAGAAATGTTGCCGTGGCAAGTAACTGAATTAAAGTATTTAAGCACTAAAATGAAAGCTAAAATTAATAAAATACTTTTTTTTTTAAATATGATAAAAGTACACAACAAATTACTAAAACTTAAAACTAAACTGGAAATACATAAAGCAAAATAGAAATTTAAAAAACCAAAGAAATAGTAAAAGTACACAACAAATCTCAAAACCTTAAAGCTAAAATGGAAATAAATATATTAAATGCAAAATATAAATATAAAAAATTAATAAAAATGACTAAAGTACACAACAAAATACAATTAAAATGACAACTGGAAATATAGAAATACAAACAGTTATATTTCACCATAACAGTCATTCTCAACTGGTTCAGAATATAGATATTTCAGACAACCTACATAGTTGCACAATTTAATTACTATATTTTGTATTTAGCGTTGTTTTCTCTCTCCATGCTCTTTGTGATCAAGACCCATTTTCCCCAGTTGAGAACTAGAAATTAAACTCGAGCCTTAAATCACCCTTTCAACATAACATCTCTAGTTTGACTGAATTTTATAAATTAGATTTATTTGCACATTTATGTCATTCAATCGACCCTGTTCATCAATGGAAGGTGAAAACTCACCTATTAATCCAGAAGCATCTTTCATTTTAATAACCTTATTTGGTTTCCAAAAATAAAAAAGCCAAATGAAAAACAGCACAGGAAACAAATTACAAACACATCAGTAACCAAAACAAACAACGAAAAAAAGAAAAAGAAAAGAAAAACAACTGTATATGGAAACTCAAGTACATCTGACCATTAAAATCTGAAGACGACGTTCTCCCGCTGACTTCAGTAAAACGCGAAGCGCGGAGAAGAAACGTCTTCCCAGCTCCCGAAACAAGGAAACAAGGAATGCAGATATGACTAATTTAATCATTTTCTCTTTCACAAGCTTCTTATAGTGGCCATATTGTCATTAGTGTCCCGTCATCACTGGAATAGCGTCCCAAACTCCGTCATCGAGTCTCAAAAAGTCCCACAACAGGGTGTTTTGTTGGTGTTTGGTGATGAGGAATAGTCCCGTTGTGATATCTCCGGGACACGAGTTCTCTGTGTGCGAAGGCCACGTGGAGGGAGTGTCACCAGTCGCTGTGGTTCTGGCTCCAGGATTTGGGGCCGAAATGGCCGTTGGTGCCGTTCTCTCCTCTCGGTGAGTGACTGCGACTGCCCGTTTTGAGTCGCTCTTTGGAGGGTGTGTCAGTGTCTTCGTCCGAGCTGCTCTCGATGTCGCTGCGGTCGTCTTTGGACACCTGGAACCACACTTGGGTTATTAGCTGTGGCTCCTTTAAGGGTTTAGAGATGTAGTGTGCATGTATAGACATTGTTTACACATCTCATACATTTGAATAGACCAATCAAACGGTCAGTTTTCAATTTAAGACACTGTTTTTTAATTGCTGTATTGCTTTGCTGTTTTTTTGTGTCTTTTACTGTAGAAAAGCGCATTTAGAAATAAAATGTATTATTATTTATTATTAAAAAACGTTTCTGGGTTCAATACACTGTTGGCGGCCTTCCTCAAGAGGGCGCTTGGGTGCTTTAAAAGTCCTCAATTTGCACTCAAATCTGAATGTTTATGTCTAACTGAAGAAGATAAATCCAAACTATCCTTAAACCATTTGGTATTCTTCAGATTTAATAAAAGACGACTACATTTTGATTGGTTACTCGAGTAAAATTGCTGTGAATTTCATATTTTCCATTCATTTCTTATGGCGATATTTTTGTGTGGCTATTTTGTTCAAGACCATTTCGCCTTTTCTAATGACGTCCACGATTTATTAAGTGTGTCATATAGTAAGTGCCATTAGGATGAAGCCAAAATGCACTCAAAAAATATTAAGGGCTAAAAAAAAAATATTTATGTAATTGCATATAAAATTTACACCCATTTGGTTTACACGGTTTTAACATTGACCAAACTGATAGTGAACCACACACTTAGTGTGACGCTTATTTGACAGTCATATGTAAATGAACCAGGTACGATTTCTGCACTCAAAATAAAAATTATGTACTTAAATAATCATATATTCAAAATTCTTAGAATCAGCATAAATTCTTGCAAAAACAAATATGGCTAGCTTTAAAACAAAATGTATAAAAGATTGATTTTCACGACAATAAAATGTGCAAACCTGTTATTGTGCATTCAAAACTCATTCAGTTTATTAGTAGTTCTATAATCTGCTTCATTTAAGCACCGTATAACTGGCAAATATTCACATTAAATGTATTAGATTATGCCAAAACTGCATAATCCAAATGGATGTAAATTGTACATGCAATTCAAATGCATAAATCCTTGTTGAGTGTGACCGAAGGGCTAAACACATATTCTGGGACAACTACCCAAAAACAAAAATCACAGAAAACAAGTAAAGAAGCAAACTTACAGCCGGAGAAGATACAGAGAGCGAAAGACTCTAAAGCGAGCGAGTTTAGCAGAGAGAACGAAAGATTTCTATCAGGACAGAAGCAGAAAGACAGGAACAGCCTTCCAGCCAGTGAGAGAAGGAAAAGACAAACCAGTTCTGCAGGAGAGAGAGAGAAAAGGAGGAAACGCGTGTAACTACACAGAATCACGTCCTGAAAGAGTGGATGAGAGCGAGGTCATGTGACGCACCTTTCCTCTCATGATGGCTTTGAAGGCGATGCGTGCGATGAGGTATGACCAGAGGACGTGCAGGACCTGCAGGACCAGCAGGAGGAAGTTGAAGAGCCACCAGGACGGGTACGGCCCGATGATGTCCCAGCTCTCGAACAGCGTCGTGTTCAGGATCCTGCGACGGACAACGGCATGAGAGCAGCTCTAGCTCGGTAAAACATGGGGTCGCCACAATCATTAACAAAACATCCATAATAAACTCTTACTATTTTGTAGAGCTGCACGATTCTGGATAAATTGAGAATCACATTTTTTTTTTTTTTTTTTAAATAGAATCACGATTCTCCCATGATTCTGAACAGACATCTAAACAAAATAACATGTCATTTACTACAAGTTAGAAGTCATGATAAAATGTTGATTGCTGCAGTCTTTTTAAAATGTTTAACTGATTTGAATGAATTATTAAAAAAAAATGTAAAAAATCGGATCAAGTGAATGATTCAATGACTCGCTCAAATACTTCACTTTGTTTCATTACTGGATGAATCAGCGTTTTTCAACGAATCACTTGAATGAATGATTCAATGACTCACTCAAATCAGTACTGGATGAATCAGCGTTTTTGAACGAATCACTTGAATGAATGATTCGATGACTCACTCAAATCAGTAGTGGATGAATCAGCGTTTTTGAACAAATCACTTGAATGAATGATTCGATGACTCACTCAAATCATTACTTGATGAATCAGCGTTTTTTAACGAATCACTTGAATGAATGATTCAATGACTCACTCAAATCAGTAGTGGATGAATCAGCGTTTTTGAACGAATCACTTGAATGAATGATTTGATGACTCACTCAAATCAGTACTGGATGAATCAGCGTTTTTGAACGAATCACTTGAATGAATGATTCAATGACTCACTCAAATCAGTACTGGATGAATCAGCGTTTTTGAACGAATCACTTGAATGAATGATTCGATGACTCACTCAAATCAGTAGTGGATGAATCAGCGTTTTTGAACAAATCACTTGAATGAATGATTCGATGACTCACTCAAATCATTACTTGATGAATCAGCGTTTTTTAACGAATCACTTGAATGAATGATTCAATGACTCACTCAAATCAGTAGTGGATGAATCAGCGTTTTTGAACGAATCACTTGAATGAATGATTCAATGACTCACTCAAATCATTACTAGATGAATCAGCACTTTTAAACAAATCATTTGAATGAATGATTCGATGACTCACTCAAATCAGTACTGGATGAATCAGTGTTTTTGAACAAATCACTTGAATGAATGATTCGATGACTCACTCAAATCAGTACTGGATGAATCAGCGTTTTTGAACAAATCACTTGAATGAATGATTCAATGACTCACTCAAATCATTACTAGATGAATCAGCACTTTTAAACAAATCATTTGAATGAATGATTCGATGACTCACTCAAATCAGTACTGGATGAATCAGCGTTTTTGAACGAATCACTTGAATGAATGATTCGATGATTCACTCAAATCAGTACTGGATGAATCAGCGTTTTTGAACGAATCACTTGAATGAATGATTCGATGACTCACTCAAATCAGTACTGGATGAATCAGCGTTTTTCAACGAATCACTTGGAATTCATTTAGTGAGTCATTGAATCATTCATTCAAGTGATTCGTTGAAAAACGCTGATTCATCCAGTACTGATTTGAGTGAGTCATCGAATCATTCATTCAAGTGATTTGTTCAAAAACACTGATTCATCCAGTACTGATTTGAGTGAGTCATCGAATCATTCATTCAAATGATTTGTTTAAAAGTGCTGATTCATCTAGTAATGATTTGAGTGAGTCATTGAATCATTCATTCAAGTGATTTGTTCAAAAACGCTGATTCATCCAGTACGGATTTGAGTGAGTCATCGAATCATTCATTTAAGTGATCCGTTCAAAAAGGCTGATTCATCAAGTAATGATTTGAGTGACTTATTGAATCATTCAAGTGATTTGTTCAAAAACGCTAATTCATCAAGGAATTAATTTAGTGAGTCATTGAATCATTCATTCTTGATGAATTAGCGTTTTTGAACAAATCACTTGAATGATTCAATAAGTCACTCAAATCATTACTTGATGAATCAGCCTTTTTGAACGAATCACTTAAATGAATGATTCGATGACTCACTCAAATCCGTACTGGATGAATCAGTGTTTTTGAACAAATCACTTGAATGAATGATTCGATGACTCACTCAAATCAGTACTGGATGAATCAGCGTTTTTGAACAAATCACTTGAATGAATGATTCAATGACTCACTCAAATCATTACTAGATGAATCAGCACTTTTAAACGAATCATTTGAATGAATGATTCGATGACTCACTCAAATCAGTACTGGATGAATCAGCGTTTTTGAACGAATCACTTGAATAAATGATTCGATGACTCACTCAAATCAGTACTGGATGAATCAGCGTTTTTGAACGAATCACTTGAATGAATGATTCAATGACACAATTTAAGTAATTTGTCGGTGTAACGATGCAATTAATACAATCGTTATTTGAAGCGCCAAGTTAATTTCAAAAGGATTTGTATGGCGTTATTATCCTGTCCAATGTCGAGAGCGCATTATTGTAGCGCGAAAGTACATTAATATTATGCGCGAGCGTGAATCTCTCTGCTCGCGCGCGGAATATGATGTGCCGAGCGTGAATCCCTCTGCTCGCGCGCGGAATATGATATGCACAGCGCGAATCTCTCTGCTCGCGCGCGGGAACTGGGCGCGCGCTCTCAGATACACTTCTCTTGTAAGAATTCTCTCTCTGGGCTGAGTGGGCTCGCTGCCTCGCTCAGAGAATATGCCTGCACTTAAAACGTGTTCAGTGCAATCGCGAATTGCTCCTCTTCCCCAGCTAACAATTTTAGGTTATAAGAACGTTTTCATAACGTTCCCATTAAGTTATAAAAACGTTATACAGTGTCGGCCCAGATCCGGCCTAGATCCGGTAAACGTGGATTCCACACGGCCCAGATGTGGGCCGGATCTGGGCCGACACTGTGTTGCTGTCTGGGGTGGGTGCTTGAATTGAGATTGCCATCTTTCAACAATTAATCGTGCAGCTCCACTATTTTGTATACTAATAATATTTATATCATATCCATACCACATCCATGTTCGAGAGAACAAGATCATTCATCACTTCTTGGAAAATTGGACCAAAGTATCAGTAATGAAAACGGAAGTTGATTCTTGTTTTTTTTTCCCTAATAGATGACTTGTGTTTGTTATTAAGATTATTAGTTAAGTATTAATATGCAAGTAGTAATATATAAAGTAATTTATAACACTATGAAGTGTTATATTTAAGACAACAATAGCACGTAACAGTCATGTCTGTGTGTTTTCTCGATCAGACAGCAGGATGTGATGTCTCTGATTGAGTGTCATGTCTGCAGTGGAGGTCAGCTGATCTGGATGTGGTTCAGTCATCGTGACATCAGAACCCAGACACTGAATCCAGCCACTCGGGTTTCAGCTCTCCGCAGGAGGCCCTCAGCGCAGCCGGACGAGCCATCGCTCTCAAGGACAGCTCATTGGCTTATTAAATGAGCGCGCGCGCACACACACTCTTGAATATGTGGTTTACTGGGACTCTCCATGGGCGTAATGGTTTTTAAACTGTACAAACTGTATTTTCTATCCCCCTACACATCATAGCATTTATACAAAAATAAAAAAAATGTTAAAAAGTGCGCACGCAAGACTGTCCCATGTCTAAAAAAATGGCAGATGTCAAAAGTGCCTAAACTTCGGAGCGGTATTCGAGGCTATGCGTATCCCATCATGCATTAGGGTCGGGAACTCGCAAAATATTGAGGAAAACATTCCACTAAGTTAAATTAATTAGATATTAATTAACTACATATAATTTGGTAGTAAAACAAAGTGTTGCACATTTTATTGGTGCAAACAAAGATGAGTAGGGTATGTGTATTTTGTACAACATTTGCAAATGCTTTTGATCACTTAAAGGTGGGGTAGGTAGAAATTTTCTAAAAAACTTTTTCCCACATTTGTTTAAACTGTCTATATATACCAAGACATAAATAAAATGCAAGTACTCTGAAAAGGAGAGTATAAAAATCGAGTGTCTGTAGTCCTCTCAGTGCTGCAATAAACACAGCTACTTATTTCATTCACTCCCACCCTCTCCCGTCTGGGCTACTTACAAAGCCACGCCCCCAAAACACATGAACGCGCGATGCCGATGCCATTATGAAAATAAACAACTGATGTGATACTGACCAGAAGGGGAAAATAATCAATCTTGTCCCAAAGAAGATTATCCCAAACACCACAAACAAGAAGTCACATAAGCGCTGGTATTTGGCGTAGTTTGCCAACTTTGCAGCCTACAAGGGAAAAAACAAAACACAATTAAGGGAAAAAAAAACAACAACATTGAGATTATACATTAATGCTCATACAAATAGAATTTTATGCGGAACTAAAAACAAAATACTGGTAAATTTTGGGAGTATTTTTTTTACAATTTTACATTAAAATGTAGTTAAAAGTTAATTATTTATGAAAAAAAAGGTATTGCAGGTGATTTTGCATTAAGTCCCTCAGTTAAATGCTGGTTTATAAACATAATAAAGACTATTTGTAAGATGTAATCTGGTGAAGCAGAACGGCAGGTATCCTTACCTCCAACAGGAAGTCAGAGGTGTCGTGAACACACATGACCAGACTTCCCACGCGCAACATGTTATTCACATACGAGAAACTGATCAGGCTTATGGTAGCCAGATGATGAATGAACATGATGAGGAAATCCTGCAAGTACACAAGAAATATGTTAAACACGGCCACAATACGAAAATATTATGCAAATTACATACAAAAGTAAAACATTTCTATTTAAATAATATTATAATTGTTCGTTCAGCTTGTGTAAACCAACAGGACCTGCATTCTCCAGATATGTTAAGTAAAGAGGAAGATTATATCCGTTATGATTGCTCTCTGTATCTTGATATACAAATCTCTCGCCACATAATGGATATTGCTGCGGGCTTTATCTTACACACACAGACGAGGCACACCCTGAAGACGGTCAGCCGAGTGAAACTCAAGGATTGTTTGTCTTTACGGGTGGCTGGATTGAAAAGGGCTAATGGTGAGACTGACAGATCAACCGCAGACAAACAAAAGCCATGTGCGTCGGTCTGACAGCTGTGGAGTTCATTTCCTCTCCAACACACAGTCTAGATCACATGACAAAACTGCTGACGCTACGCATGTATGCGGACCTTATCAAGCAACTTCATATTTCAGATGTTGTAGGAAGTTGAAGGGAGAGAAGTAAAAGGATTAAAACACAATAGTTTGCTTTTTTGCTTAAATGGCAAACACTGACCTTTCTTTTGATGTCTGTGAACTGGGAGAACATGAGCGACCAGTAGAAGGACAGTTCTGTTACATAATAATGATACAGGCCTGAGGTCAGCACCTACACACACACACACACACAAGTTATAGAGCAGAAACTTCATCCGAAGACACACTGTTAATATGTGAGATTTTTTTTTTTGCAATATAAAACTTCTTATCATGAATACAAAGTACATTTATTCCACAAATCCTCATTAAAACAAAACAAAATAAAAGGCATTTTTAGGATCTTTTGGTTTTAATTCTGCAATTTCTTTCATGACTCACAAGACTATTTACTCCCTAAATCCTCATTATAAAATAAAATGACAAATAAAAATAAAAATAAAACAAAATAAGTCATTTTTTTGCCAATGTGAAATTTCTTTCATGACTACCGAGCACATTTACTCCCTGAATCCTGAAAATAAAAAATAAAAATGTAAAATAAAATAAAGGTCATTTTAGGATATTAAAGATTTTTTTTTCTTTCATGACTACAAAGCACATTTATTCCCTAAATCCTCAAAAAAGAAAAAGAAAAAGAAAGTCATTTTAGGATCTTTAAGATTTTCTTTTCTTGGCATTAATTTTTTTTCTTTTCATTATTACAATTACGTACTTTTTTTGCATTCTCCAGTGTGATTCTCATTAATGTTATGAAGGCATTTATTTAATAATTATTATACAGTAATGCAATCATTTATATACTTATTCTGATTTAATTTTGAGATGACTTAATTAAAATTCTCAAGGCACCAATGATTTTAAATATATTAATATAATAAACAATTTAAACAATATATTATTACATTGGGGTGAACATGTAGTTAGTTGTCATGAAAAAAATGTCACAATGCATACAATTTTAACAACCCTAAAAGTACACTTAATTTTTTTTAAATGTAAAACAATCAATTTGTTGCGTTTGTTTTTGAACAACAAATCTTCATGGTTTCGTGAGTTTTCTTTTATATGCTCTTATATTGGTGACGGGTCACACGATTGAAACATTTCTGGCAAAAGATTCACCGTCAACGTTCATTTGAAGCCAATCTGGCATCATTTGAAGCATTACCTGATAGGGGTAGTTGTACCAGCATTGTCTCGTATCCCACATCCAGGGAGACTATGAAACACACACACACACACAGTTAATATGAATAATAATAGAAAAAACCATAAGCACTCACAGAGCTGTACAGCTGACACTCACCTGCCACAGGAAATGGATCCCGTAAGTAAATATATAAAGATAGAAAGTAAACCTCCACCTGCAGAGAAATCACAGCGGCTGTCAGATGAAGCGGGTACAGCACACAAACACACACACACTCAAATACATCCACACATATAGAAGGATCAAATACATCCACACATATAGAAGGATCAAATACATCCACACATATAGAAGGATCAAATACATCCACACATATAGAAGGAAACAGAGTTTTGCACTTCAAAAGGAAGCATTAAAAGGAAAGTTCACCCAAAAAAAATATAAAAAATTAACCCCATGATTTACTCATCCTCAAGTCATTCTAGGTGTTTATGACATTCTTCTTTCAGACGAATACAATCAGTTATATTCAAAAATGTCCTGGCTCTCCCAAGCTTTATAATGGTAGTGAATGGGCACCATTTTTTGAAGTGCATAAAAGTGCATCTGTCCATCATAAAAGTGCATCTGTCCATCATAAAAGTGCATCTGTCCATCATAAAAGTGCATCTATCCATCATAAAAGTGCATCTGTCCATCATAAAAGTGGATCTGTCCATCATAAAAGTGCATCTATCCATCATAAAAGTGCATCTATCCATCATAAAAGTGCATCTATTCATCATAAAAGTGCATCTATTCATCATAAAAGTGCATCTATCCATCATAAAAGTGCATCTATCCATCAATCTATCCATCATAAAAGTGCATCTATCCATCATAAAAGTGCATCTATCCATCATAAAAGTGCATCTATCCATCATAAAAGTGCATCTATCCATCATAAAAGTGCATCTGTCCATCATAAAAGTGCATCTGTCCATCATAAAAGTGCATCTGTCCATCATAAAAGTGAATATATCCATCATAAAAGTGCATCTGTCCATCATAAAAGTGGATCTGTCCATCATAAAAGTGCATCTATCCATCATAAAAGTGCATCTGTCCATCATAAAAGTGGATCTGTCCATCATAAAAGTGCATCTATCCATCATAAAAGTGCATCTATCCATCATAAAAGTGCATCTATTCATCATAAAAGTGCATCTATCCATCATAAAAGTGCATCTATCCATCATAAAAGTGCATCTGTCCATCATAAAAGTGCATCTATCCATCATAAAAGTGCATCTATCCATCATAAAAGTGCATCTATCCATCATAAAAGTGCATCTATCCATCATAAAAGTGGATCTGTCCATCATAAAAGTGCATCTGTCCATCATAAAAGTGCATCTGTCCATCATAAAAGTGAATATATCCATCATAAAAGTGCATCTATCCATCATAAAAGTGCATCTGTCCATCATAAAAGTGCATCTATCCATCATAAAAGTGCATCTATCCATCATAAAAGTGCATCTATCCATCATAAAAGTGCATCTATTCATCATAAAAGTGCATCTATCCATCATAAAAGTGCATCTGTCCATCATAAAAGTGAATATATCCATCATAAAAGTGCATCTATCCATCATAAAAGTGCATCTATCCATCATAAAAGTGCATCTATCCATCATAAAAGTGCATCTATCCATCATAAAAGTGCATCTGTCCATCATAAAAGTGCATCTGTCCATCATAAAAGTGCATCTGTCCATCATAAAAGTGAATATATCCATCATAAAAGTGCATCTATCCATCATAAAAGTGCATCTGTCCATCATAAAAGTGGATCTGTCCATCATAAAAGTGCATCTATCCATCATAAAAGTGCATCTATCCATCATAAAAGTGCATCTGTCCATCATAAAAGTGCATCTATCCATCATAAAAGTGCATCTATCCATCATAAAAGTGGATCTGTCCATCATAAAAGTGCATCTATCCATCATAAAAGTGCATCTATCCATCATAAAAGTGCATCTGTCCATCATAAAAGTGCATCCATCCATCATAAAAGTGCATCTATCCATCATAAAAGTGCATCTATCCATCATAAAAGTGCATCTATCCATCATAAAAGTGCATCTATTCATCATAAAAGTGCATTCATCCATCATAAATATCTATCCATCATAAAAGTCCATCCATCCATCATAAAATATCTATCCATCATAAAAGTGCATCTGTCCATCATAAAAGTGCATCTGTCCATCATAAAAGTGCATCTGTCCATCATAAAAGTGCATCTGTCCATCATAAAAGTGCATCTATCCATCATAAAAGTGCATCTATCCATCATAAAAGTGCATCTATCCATCATAAAAGTGCATCTGTCCATCATAAAAGTGCATCTATCCATCATAAAAGTGCATCTATCCATCATAAAAGTGCATCTATTCATCATAAAAGTGCATCTATCCATCATAAAAGTGCATCTATCCATCATAAAAGTGCATCTGTCCATCATAAAAGTGCATCTATCCATCATAAAAGTGCATCTATCCATCATAAAAGTGCATCTATCCATCATAAAAGTGCATCTATCCATCATAAAAGTGCATCTATCCATCATAAAAGTGCATCTATTCATCATAAAAGTGCATTCATCCATCATAAATATCTATCCATCATAAAAGTCCATCCATCCATCATAAAATATCTATCCATCATAAAAGTGCATCTATCCATCATAAAAGTGCATCTATCCATCATAAAAGTGCATCTATCCATCATAAAAGTGCATTCATCCATCATAAATATCTATCCATCATAAAAGTGCATCTGTCCATCATAAAAGTGCATCTGTCCATCATAAAAGTGCATCTATCCATCATAAAAGTGCATCTATCTTAGGGGTGGGCGATATGGCAAAAATATCATATCACGATTTTTTTCAGGAAAATCACGATTAACGATTTTATCACGATTCTTTTTCATGTTGGTTTTACTAATTTGCTAGTGACTGAGCATTACAGCCAAACGAATGTCCCTATTAAAAAAAAAAAAAAGCCTTATAGGTAACAAAAGAAAAAAGAATGGCAGACATTTAGGCCAAAGTGGCGTAGATAAAAATCTTTATCATTATTTTCTTTGTTATTAAGAATTAGGAACAAAGATACACATTAAGCATACACAACTTAATATACAAATGAAATAAACAGTGCTTTATTTTTTCAGCTACAGTAGGGGTATTTAACAGTAGCATTGAAGAAAGTAATTAGGCTAAATGAACAAATACGAAAATAAAACACAACATAGACTTCACTGTATAAATTATACATTGATTATTATTAAAGCTACTACTAAAGTTCTCAGTCAAGAGCAGTGAGTGATTTCCTCTTTGTGTTTTGTTGTTTTATTAACATTAAAGGGATAGTTCTCCCAAACATTTTAATTGTCATCATGTACTCTCTCAAGTTGTTTTAAACCCGAATAAGTTTCTTTCTTCTGTTGACAATAAGTTATTTGGAAGAATGTGGCTAACCAAACAGTTGCTGTACTCCAGTGACTTCCATAGTATATGTTTTCCTACTATGGAAGTCAATGGGGATCAGCAACTGTTTGGTTAGCCACATTCTTCCAAATAACTTTAATTTTTAACAGAAGAAAGAAATTAATACAGGTTTGGAACAACATTAGAGTGAGTAAATAATGACAGAATTTTTATTTTTAGGTGAACTATCTCTTTAAGGACAAGAGGCAGCTTGTTTACTAACTGGCTACTGTCGCTTTAAGAGCTGCACGCGACGCGTCTAATATACACGCATTTGACAAGCAGATTTTCTCTCATTTTTTTCTGTTTGCTTTCACTTTAGACATAACCAACTTTGTTTATGTAAACCTTGTGTGTATTTGAGAATATTAACGCAATAAGACTCGAAAGATAACTTATAACGTAGTCCAGTAAACAGACGCTGTTAGACAGGCTTTCAGTGCCCGTGTGCTTCGGGTGTATGCGCTCAGAAAGCACACGTCAGAACAGCGCATCAGCACGTGAATTACATGTTTAACCAGCAAGGCTTTAAAGCACATGCAAATAATGAACTTCTGTGAACTGCAGTGTCCCGTTCCTCTGCGTTAACATTTGTTGTTGAGACGGAGCTCGGCGCCAGAACTGCAACTGATAAAATGCACGATACTACGATATTTCTTCAAAAGCAGATCGTGGAGACATTTTAATCGTCCACGATCAAAAACCGTGATATCGCACACCCCTAATCTATCCATCATAAAAGTGCATCTATCCATAATAAAAGTGCATCTATCCATCATAAAAGTGCATCTATCCATCATAAAAGTGCATCTATCCATCATAAAAGTGCATTCATCCATCATAAAAGGGCATCTATCCATCATAAAAGTGCATCTATCCATCATAAAAGTGCATCTATCCATCATAAAAGTGCATCTATCCATCATAAAAGTGCATCTATCCATCATAAAAGTGCATTCATCCATCATAAAAGTGCATCTATCCATCATAAAAGTGCATCTATCCATCATAAAAGGGCATCTATCCATCATAAAAGTGCATCTATCCATCATAAAAGTGCATCTATCCATCATAAAAGGGCATCTATCCATCATAAAAGTGCATCTGTCCTAGGGGTGGGCGCTATACCGATATGAACGTGAATACCGGTATTATGTTGTGCCATGATATGGATTTTGCGATACCGAGGATACCGTATTCATAAATTCACATTTTGCAGTTATATTGTTTTGTTCAATTTGGTAGCCTACTCCTTACAACTGTTAACACTAATGACGATACAGAATCCAATACGCTGTTTAAGGAAATGGCTGATTTGGCGCTTCATACGCGTGAAGTTGCTGAGGCGATTAACCGCTGTCCTGTGACGCGTTCAATGAAGGACCGTAACGTAGAACACATCGCTAGTGCTAAGCGGCTGTTCATAAAGGATGCATCTTTTGCGGTGGAATGGGAAATAACAAGGTAATGAGACGCAAGTTTGACTTTTAACTGGAGCGCAGCATTTTTAGTTTCATTTGCGAGACGCGGGTGCAACACCAAAACAAGTTCGTCAAGCACAAACAAACGTTAAAGTTCTAGGCTACTTTATGTTTGAGATGTCATGTTTTCATGAAGGTTGAAAGCTGCTGTTATTATCTTTGTTTTTACAAAACATTTACTGCTAATAATATTAT